TGTCCGGGAGAGGGGCTGGGGGCTCTCGTGCCGGGGCATTGCTGTGTTCCTTAGCCGTGTGCCCATGCGGTGGAGGTGAGAGCAGGACAGAGGGTGCCCTGCGTCCTGAGCCTCTCCCAGCGCCGTGGGCAGTGCGAGTGAGGTGTCCGGGAGAGGGGCTGGGGGCTCTCGTGCCGGGGCATTGCTGTGTTCCTTAGCCGTGTGCCCATGCGGTGGAGGTGAGAGCAGGACAGAGGGTGCCCTGCGTCCTGAGCCTCTCCCAGCGCCGTGGGCAGTGCGAGTGAGTAGCGCACACGGGTGGCCGGGGTCCACAGGGAGGTGGGCTGCCCATGGTGGCCGGATTGCACAGAGGTGGCAGGGCTGCGCTTTGGGGGTACTACTGGATAGGAGTCAGGGTGCAGCATCTTCCTTGCCCTTGTGGGGCACAGGAATTGTTCATTTGTCAGCTGGGCTGTGTTGGCAGACGGCTGTGTAGTGTTTGGGGGAAGGTGAGCGTATCCCATGTTATTGTAGGGGGTGGAACTAAGTTCCTCTCTCTCGTGTGGGCACCTCTTCCATGGCTCTCGCTCCATTCCTGTGTCTCCGGAGTCGGAGGTTACACTACTAGATGAGTTAAAGCTGTATAGCTTTTGTGGGTAGGAAATCCCTGAGAAATGGAAAGGCCTGTCACACTAGCAGCACACTTGCTCTTGGAGTCTTGCCCCTCACTTTGGGGATGCTGTCCTCTTACCAGACAGAGAAGTGGCCCTGCTTCCAAGTGTTAGGTCCCTAGTCGACTCCCCATTTCTTCTGGTGTAAGCAACTTAGCATGCTTCCTTCATCATGTGCAGATCAGGAAGCATCTTTGGGAGCTTTTCTTCCAGACACATATTTTTGCATGCATCTGTCTGTATACCTACGGATAACTGTTCCTCCCCACTGTTCCCACCAACGTAGATCAAGAGCAGGGATTGAAGGGTCTTTGGTTTCAGGAGAAATACAGCCATGGTGTCAGCAATACCTTTTGCCCATGAATCTTTTAGTTTTGGAGCTGTTCTGAGTCTTCCCCTTCTCTCCAGGTTGGTTATCCATTCGCGGGAGAAGGACACACCTGATCAGGATAACATTCCCATCAACAGCCGCTTTAGATGTGTTCAAGGTACTGATGCTCCCACACCTGCCCCTGTACTCTGCAGCTAGAAACCCGCTGCTTTGTTGTCCTGGCTGTACACATTGGAGTTTCCTTGTGGAGCTGAAACTCAGGGCTTATAATTACGGCTTCCTGCTTCTTCCTTCTCCCAAAGCTGTGTGGGGAGTTGGTGGATCTCAATATAAATATCGATGTGTGGATGTTTGGCTAGTTCAGCTGTCAGCATGAGGAGGAGCATATGGAGGCCAAGTGAAGGCTGCGTTTTGGTGGCCCCCATGACGGGAGAGGGTAAAAAGGACAGGATGTGCTGGGTCCTATGAGATTCTGAGCCCGCATGGAACTTTGAGGGTAGGCTGGAGGTCTCATGGGATTTGGAGCCACAAGTTTTGTCATAAAGCTACAGGCCCACTCAATGACCCCAGCTTTGGAAGGTCCATGAAGCCAATGACAAAGGCACAGAATGGGACATTTGGCTCACAGCACATAATGAGCTAGGATGGCCTACCCCCTCCACAGGAAGCCAGCCACATTTGACCAGCTGGACAATAAAGGCCTGAGGAGGGGCCGAGCGGGACAGGCCTGGGAACCTGAATATGGAGCCAAGGGTGAGGGAAGGGCACTGCTTGGCTGGGGCCATGGGGTAGCCTGGAAGGACAAAGTTGTAACTTCTCTCTGTGCTACTGAAGGACTTTCTGGGCTGTGTTCCAGCTGACTAATAAATCCTTTCGTTTTGACCATGCTGGCTGACTGTCCCTGGAGGTGCTATTGCAGGTGTGTTGCTCCCAGAGATGGTACAAGATTCCCCCGAGGTCTGCCTTGGTGAACAGAGCGCATGGGAAGCAGGAGTGCTAAAGGGCAGGAGGACCAGCCTAAGGCGCTCACCCCTACAGGCATCACTCACTGAAGAGGTCCTCTCAGAGGGTATGTCTACACTACCCTCCTATTTCGAAATAGGAGGGTAGTGTAGACATACCCTCTGAGAGGACCTCTTCAGTGAGTGATGCCTGTAGGGGTGAGCGCCTTAGGCTGGTCCTCCTGCCCTTTAGCACTCCTGCTTCCCATGCGCTCTGTTCACCAAGGCAGACCTCGGGGGAATCTTGTACCATCTCTGGGAGCAACACACCTGCAATAGCACCTCCAGGGACAGTCAGCCAGCATGGTCAAAACGAAAGGATTTATTAGTCAGCTGGAACACAGCCCAGAAAGTCCTTCAGTAGCACAGAGAGAAGTTACAACTTTGTCCTTCCAGGCTACCCCATGGCCCCAGCCAAGCAGTGCCCTTCCCTCACCCTTGGCTCCATATTCAGGTTCCCAGGCCTGTCCCGCTCGGCCCCTCCTCAGGCCTTTATTGTCCAGCTGGTCAAATGTGGCTGGCTTCCTGTGGAGGGGGTAGGCCATCCTAGCTCATTATGTGCTGTGAGCCAAATGTCCCATTCTGTGCCTTTGTCATTGGCTTCATGGACCTGGGCTCCAAGGCTGAGACAGCTAGGCATCAGTCACTCCTGCCTTGCTGGATCTCTGCAGACAGCTCTTTCCCCCACCTATGGACCAATGCTGCATCTGGGGGAAACTGAGGCACACACCGCATACATACAGAAAATTCCCACTCCATCACAAGATCTAACGGGATTTTGTGCAAGATTTGGAGACAAGTAAAGAGCCGTATGGTCAACGCCAGTTCCAGCAGTCAGTCCACCCCACTCTTAGGCTGGTCTGCCTGTCCTTGAACCCTCCTGCTTCACACCATGAGCTCTGTTCCGCTCCAGGTGGCGGTGGGCTTATGCTAGTCACCGCTTTGGACCTGGGAAGGAATCTTTCCCCTGCCACCAGCTTGCCCCAGGCTGGTTGGCTTTTTCACCTTCCCACATCTAGGAATAGGGATTTGGCTGCTGGAAGACTCAGTTTGTGCCTATGTGAGAGTCGCTTAGTTGCATGAATTGTCAGGTGCTCAGTGTAGGAACTCGCTGATTTAGGCTCCAGATCCAAAAAGGTAATGCAGTGGGCATCCCACGGGCATCCCAAGCACATCTCCTTATGAGAGGCACATCGCGTGTGACCCCTGGGGGCTGCAGGGCCTGTGGTACTACGCCTATGTGCTCGATGACCGGGCTGCTTGGGGGCTGAGGTTCCCTCTTGCCTCAACCCCTGAGGGGGGAGGGCTGCTAGTGGGTGAGAGGAGGAGCCCAAAGACCATGCTAGTGTGCTGATTAGCTCCCCCTGTGAGGAGAGCCCCTAAGAATTCGCAGAGGATCGGTGGGGTGTCAGAAACTGCCCTGGGCTGTCCCCAGTGAGCACCTGGGATGTAACTTGACAAATAAAATTGTGGCCTGGTTAAAATTCATACCACGTGTGCTTGCCTTCCATATGGGAGGCCCCTGATGTCCAGTATCAGTCAGGAGTGCCTGAAAATCAGCGGCTATGTGTCCCTTCCTGTGACATGTTTGTGCCAAAAACCACTGCCTGGAATGGCATCTCATGGCTCCCTCCACTAGCGGTGCGGCAAAGATCAAAGCTAGAATGGGAGCTGGGGTCTGAATGGACTGAGAGCTTGCTTACGCAGAACTGTACCTTTATACTTATCCTGAGGGACTCCCTCTATCTGCCGTAAGCGTCCCCAAGGGGCATTATACCACGATAGTCATGTGGCATGCTTCTGCCGGTAAATTTCTCCATGTAGCCAACCATGGGACTTGTGGGTGGAGCTCGGTGGGAGCTTGTACAGCTGCACATGCTACTCTTGGGGAATCAGTCTCCAGACTGTCAGGCTGCTATCTCTCTGAAGAGACCCATTTGCAAGGGGACCTCTCCAGCCTGGCCTGGTAACTCTTTCCAGGCGTGCCACTGCTAGTGGTGAGATACAAATGGAACCTTTCTGCTCCTTTGCTGGGGCTTGGGATCCCCTTGGGTTGAGGGCAGGCGCTGTGCTTTCGTTGTCTGTGCTCAGTCTCCTTGGTGCCCCTGGACAGGCTGAATTTTCCTGACTCTTCTCTTTTCTTTCTCAGAGGCTGAAGAAACTCTGTTGATCGATATAGCTACAAACAGTGAGTCTGCTGTGATGAGAGCTTTCTTCAGCAAATACATCATCTCTGCATCACTGACACACTTTCCTTCCTGTTTCACCCACTCTGCCCGCCCTTGTCTCTTCCCCTTGTGCCCTCTGCCTCCCCTTGTCTTTCTGTCCCTTTGCTAGCTGTGGATTGTGTCCTCTGTAAGTTGGTAGCGAGAGTGGCTGGCTTTGCTATTCTTTCGGAAAGTGCTCGGTGCCACGAGGAGTGGGATCGAAATCCTTAGCTCAAAAGGTGTCACTTGGCTGAGTGTAAACTTTCCCTTCATGCTTCTCTCAAAGCCCCTCCCTGTGAGCCTGCCTGACTTTGCCCAGAGCGTATCCTGCTGCCCCCTTTAGTGGTGCCGGACTCCTCGCTGCCGCAGAAGCAGCCCCGTGGTTAGAATGCAGGGCCAGCGGAAGGGGAGCCTGACACTCCTAGGAGGGGTTCATGCCCTGCAGGGTCCCCCGGCGCTTTGCCTCAGACAGGTACAGGTAGTCTTCACTCTGCCCAGCGGGAGCGGGGAGAACAGACGCACTTGAGGGTTAGGTGCTTTGGTAGCATGTGGGCTGCTTGTCTTGGGGACCCGTAATGCCTCTAGTGCCTGTCAGGGCGTGCCCATTGCTACAGATCCCCCCCGGAGCCCTGTCCATTCTGCACTGGGCATTCACCCGCCTTTGGTGCTTGCAGAATCACCGCTTCCCTTGTGTTCGCCTTTCACACAGCAGCAGGGCAGCAAAGCAGTCTGACAATCAGGAAAAGGGCCCTAGAATCCCATCCCGCCCACAGATGGGTGGGGGTGCCGGGGTGCAACGAGGACTCGACACTGCCTCAGACTCTCTTTTTAAAATAGACTAGATGTCAGGGTAGCAGCATCCCTTTGGGAAGATGAGCTGTTCCATGGTGAGCCCAGAGGAGCAGGTGGCAGCTCGTGGCTTGTTCACGGGAGTGCTTTAAAGGTCGAGAAGCCGAAACTGTCTGTGTCTCGGTGTGTGTGTTTTGTATGTCTGAAGCTGGCTGCAAGATCAGAATACAGGGCGACAGCACACCAGAGCGCCTCTTTGAGATCCCTGATGAGGAGCGCTGCTTGACCTTCCTCTCCCAAGTGCTGAGCGCACAAGAAGGTAACCATGCTTACAGCCACGTGTGGTCTTGGGGCTCAAGAGCCGTTTCTCACAGCGTTGTTTCCTCCCCAGCCCAGTCGAAAGCGCCTCTCCCTGAGCACAGGGAGCCAGCCAGCTGGTATCAGGTGGAGAAAACCCTTCCAGCTCCTCCTCAGCCGTCTGCCTCAGGTACTGAGTGAGTCCTGCCTCTGCCATTGCTGCCCTGTGTTCAGGGCACAGTCAGGCTCTTGTTTGCAATGGCTGGGTGGGTTGCATATGAAACTATGATCTCTTAGGAACTTGGATTTTCATTGGCCCTGATAAGTAGGAGCCTGGCTAATGCTTTCCCCCATCCCCCCAAAAGCACATATGCTGCTCCTAGTGTGGTGTTACCATGGAGTAATGTCTTAGGGTATGTCTACACTGTACACTTGTTGTGGAATGAGCTGTCCGGAGATACATTACAAAATAGCTTATTTCGAAATAGAGCGTCCGCACTACAGGGAAGCCTCAAAATAAGTCCGAGGCAGGCTCCCCTGCTGTGGCCACGCTACCTCGATTTAGAGCCCCAGGAGGCACTGGGGAGAAATGACTTTGAATGCCCTGGGGCATTTCGAAATAGCAGCAGTGGAGCATCCGCACTGCAGCTGTTTCAGAAGAGGAGTTATGCCTGGTGGAACGAGGTTGACAAACGTTGGATAAGCCTCCCATTATTTCGAAATAAGAGAATTGCTGTGCAGACGCTCGCGTTGTTATTTCGGAATAACGCTAGTTCTCTCGAAGTAACGGTGCACTGTAGACGCACTCTTATTGACCTACTTGTATCTCCTTCTGCCAAAGTCCCTCTTGATTCATTAATGTTTCTCTCGCTTCCTCTGCCTGTTCCTCCCCTCCCTCCCCCCCCAGCGGGGCCCTCCCATGGCTCTTGGCTCCCCCCCACCTCTGTCCGCAAGCATCGCTGCCTCTCACCCCTGAGGCGCTGTCAGGGCTGCTGTAACACAGTGACCCCTGGCCTCCCTTCCCCCTGCCGGAGTTAAGGTGCCCCCTCTGGGGCCTTGTTAATTGGTCTCTGCAGAGCATCCACCTGGGCCTCAGTTTCACCCTCCAGCCGTCTGTCATTACAGGGGTTCTAGGCTTTGAGGATAACTTCAATGCCATAAGTTTGGAGAAGAAAAGAAATTTACAAAACCAGCAAATGGGATCTCGCCGGGAGCCCCCGCCTCCTCCCCTGCCGCAAACCAGGCAGTAAGTAGCCTCCCGGAGCTGTTCCCTGGACCCTCCGGTAGCCTCGGCAGTAAGCCCACGTGAAGTCTGTGGTTGCCTCCTGTGCAGGGTCCATCGGGAGAGGGAAAGTGTGGCCAGAGACCAGCCAAAAGTAACCAACACCATGCGCAAGCTGTTTGTGCCCAGCCCGCAGTCTGGGCAAAGAGAGGGGCTCATCAAGCACTTGCTTGCCAAGAGAGAGACCGAATACGTCAACATCCAGAGCTTCAGGTCAGCGCCGCGCCCAGTGCCTTGGGGGGAAGGGAGGGAGAAGCAGAGCTTTCCTCAGCTTCTCTGGGCTGCTGGCTTGATCCTCGTGCAAGTCCCACAGCCAGCGCCTGCTGCTGGGTGGCCTGTTTGAAACACGTGTGTGTGTAGCGGGGAGGGGTCAGTCCAGTTTGTAGCTGGACAGATGGCCACAGTACAGTCCCACCCCCATCCCGTTGGCACCTCCTGGTGGGTGATCTCAGCCCGGGAGCGGGGCTGAGATTACAGGGCTTACTCGGCCCCGAGCGGTGAGGCCTGGGGCTTTGGCTCTCACCCCGGGGCAGTGGGGCTCAGGCCTTGGTCCCCAGTCCTCAGGCTGTAATTCTTGTTTGAAGGGGTGTGTGCACTGACATTTGAGAGCCCTGCCTGGCTGCTCTCGTGTGTATTGCAGGTTTTTTGTGGGCACGTGGAACGTGAACGGCCAGTCTCCAGACAGCGGATTGGAACCCTGGCTAGTCTGTGACCCAGACCCCCCAGACTTCTACTGTGTTGGGTGAGGAGTGAGCTCCTGCTAACTTACACATACTCATCTTGTGCCTCCCCCCTTCCCTTGGCCTAGTGGACTCCAAACTATAGACTGGTGCCTGGCTCGTTCCCGGGGACTCCGCAGGAAGGGAATCTCCTTTGCAGGGCTGGAGGAGTCAGGCCGATACAAAGAAGCAGCCGAAAGTCAAGCAGATTTCTTGAGCTGACAAAAAGCAGCTTTCCTCCAGCGAGACAGCAGCTCATCCCCGGCACTAGCAAAGCAGGCAAGACTAATGCCCCAGGGGCATGGTCTCTGGAAGGGGCTTGTAAGCCCCTGCACAGGGCCATGGTGCTTTTGTCCAAGCTAGCCTAGGTGTCCTTCCTGCAGGCTGAGTGACCAGAGAGTCAGACGGGGGCCCCTGCTGTGCTGACTTCTGACGGGGGCACAGGAGAGACTGGCTGGGGGAGCGGGGAGGTGTCCTAAATTGACCTGTTTTTAGGTTCCAGGAGTTGGACCTCAGCACCGAGGCGTTTTTCTACTTTGATTCTGGGAAGGAGCAGGAGTGGCTGACTGCCGTGGAGAAATCCTTGCACCCCAAAGCCAAGTACAAGAAGGTGAGTCCCACTCGGCCATCTCTGCTGGCATCCAAGCTGTGGGGCCGGGGAGGGGGCAGGAGTGACGCTCGCTCTTTCCCAGCTCAGAGGCGCCCTGTGTCTCCCAACCCATATGGCCAGGGCTGTGTACCTGAGACCGAAGCAGGACTAGTCTCCGGGTCAGGGGGAGTTGCTGTGTACTGGAGTAAACCTGGAGATGCTTGTAGGGCAGAAAACCCTCCACTAATAGCTCGCTGGCCATTTGGTGGGTGCCTCATGAGGAGCAACAACAGCAAAAAGGCACCAGAGAGCTGACAGGACAGGTGTTCTGAGCGGGACGAGGCAGGCGGTCAGTTTCCACGTCGGTAGCTCCGCTGCGAGAGAGCCTGGGTGCGCCTTGTCCGTGAAGGAGCACAGGGGAAGTGAGCTGGGAGCCTGCGCCTGGGGGGAGCTACGTTACTTGAAATGCTGCTAGCTGGCTCCTTCCCGACACATCAGAACTGAGTCACTGCAGCACAGCAGGTCTGGTGAGTGGCTCTGTCGCCCCCCCGTGTTCTGCTGTGACAGCTGCGCACTGCTGGTTTAGGCAGAGCCCGGTGACACGAGACACAGGCGCTCCAAGCAGGCCTGGTCTTGAATCTCCATCGCATGTGGAAGGCTGATCACACAGGGGTAGCGGCAGGCAGTGTTCCCTGTAAGCTGTGCACTGTGCCACCCAGGCGAGATTCAGGTGCAGATCATGTTTCCACTGGTGGTGCATGTCCACTCATGCCTCAGTGCCCAGAACAAAATCTATTCCACACATGGATGGTAAAATTGGAGGGAAGATTGGCTGCAGGCAAGGTGGAAGTGGCTGAAATCACAGATAAAGTTCATGGTTAAAGATGCGGAGTTCAGAGTCCTGCAAAATATTGGGATGTCTCTAGCTCCTCCTCCAGGGAGGGATTGTAACACCTGCTGATAGGGCATTTCTTCACCCCCTCTTGATGGGGAGGTTTTCTTCTCATTAACAGTCATAACACTTCACACTTCTCTGGTGAGCATTTCAGAGCGCTCCACGTACCCTGGTCAGTTACATCTCTCAACCTGCTGAGCTGGGGGAAGTAACACCCCCAGTTAGAAGATAGGGAAACTCCTGGACTGAGAGGTGAAGTGACTTGCCCAGAGTCACCCAGAAGAGATAGTGGCAGAGCCAGGATCCATGCAGCAAGTGATGGTGCACACAGGTGCCCCCTTAGTGACTGTAGGATGAGCCGCATGGTGGAGAACAACCTCCCGTCCTGTGGAAGGTGCTAATGCCCTCTGGGAGGCGGGCAGTACCAAGCAGGGCAGGGAGATATTGTGCCAGCTTCGCTTGCTGGCTATCTCCTCTACATTGAAACCACTCGTGCAAAGAGTTGGGCATTTAAACTGTGAGCGCCACACCAGAGGAGCAGAAACAAACTCCTGCCACCCTGGGACCCGAGCTCTTGGCTTTTGTGGGGCCCAGGACTAGTTCCGTCCGTTCCTTCCGCGAGGTTTGGCTGGTGGTGCCTAGTTTTGTATTGCAGCTGTGGCTCCAGTCTGACTCCTGCAGGGCACTTGAGAAGCCTCCAGTCTTTCCCACCGGACGTTGCTTCAGAGGGATGCGCCAGAGCATGAACAGTCATGAGCTCGGCAGCATCCCCTGCTGGTGCCGTTGGAGGGCCACTGGCTCTTCTCAAGTCTCCTGCAGTGCAGGGAGTCCCCCAGCTAGTGCTTTGTTGGGAGACAGGAAGGGGCCATGGAGACAGGGCAGCGCAGGAGGGGAGAAGTCATAAGAACGGCCGTACTGGGTCAGACCAAAGGTCCATCTAGCCCAGTATCCTGTCTGCCGACAGTGGCCAGCACCAGGTACACCAGAGAGGGTGGACCGAAGACAATGATCAAGCGATTTGTCTCCTGCCATCCCTCTCCAGCCTCTGACACACAGAGGCCAGGGGCACCATTCCTACCCCCCGGGGAGTACAGTACAGCTGACCTGGAAGCTCTCTGAACTTTTGTTTGCTTGTTTGCAGGTGCAGGTGGTCCGTCTGGTCGGGATGATGCTGGTTGTGTTTGCCAGGAAGGATCAACTGAGTTATATCAGCGAGGTCATGGTAGAGACTGTGGGGACAGGAATCATGGGCAAAATGGTGAGTGCCCTAGATCAGTGACTACATGGCCCCGGAGCAGGCGACTCTGGCGGGAGTGAAATATCCTGTGGTAGGGATGTAAGCGACGAGTCGACTCCCCGATAAGCAAATGCAAAGGAAGAGGCACAGAGGGGAACCCTGCCAGCGGGGACTGCTTGGCTCCCGGCACGGTTCCCGCTGCCTCTCACCCTTTGAAATATACAAGAGCTGCAGACAGCTCCTGTACGTCCCAAAGGGAGGGGCACAGTGGGATAGCGAGCGCCCCCCTTATCGACTAATCCTGCAGTCAACGGAAATTCCACTGCCTCTCGAGTAGCTGATTAATCAAAACGTAACATCCCTAGAGCAGTGTCTTGCCCTCATCTCATCCCTGCTGCCTCTTTTCCTGCCGGTCCGTCTCTTGTTCTCATTGTGTCTTTCCCCAGCTCTCTCCTGTCCCATCTGTGACTCCGCCTCCTCTCTCTGTGCCCGTGCGACAGTCTCACGGGTAACTCTGTCCCCAGGGTAACAAGGGTGGTGTGGCCGTAAGGTTTGAGTTCCACAACACCACCTTCTGCATCGTCAATTCCCACCTGGCAGCTCATGTAGAGGAGTTTGAGCGGCGGAACCAGGATTACAAGGACATCTGTGCCCGGTTAAGCTTCCTGCCCCCTGACCAGGGCCTGCCTCAGCTGAACATCATGAAACACGAGTGAGTCACCCATTCCACCTTTCCTCACGGCCTGGGGCTTCTTAGCTAGCAGTTGCTGCCAGCTGGAGCCCTAGTAGAGCCCAGCCTTCCTGTTTCATCGACACAGTCTACACTGACATTCCTGGTGGTGCAGCAGACAGGGATCGGCTTGTGGGCAGCGTTCGTGCAGTGGCCAGCCGGTTGCTAGTACCCTGTGAGAAGTGTAGTGTGCTCGTCTCAGCAGCCTGCGCTCTTCCATCACAGGCTGATTGTTCCAGGGCGCGGAAAACCTGGGGCCTTTCTAGAACAGCCACCAACCTCTGGGTTTTGTTCCAGGTTTTCTGCTCTGTTCGTTTTTGAACTCTTGCTCCTTGGGAGGGTTTACGTGAGCAGAGCACAAAGGCTGCAAGGTTGTGGGACTAGCAGTGGGCTCAGATTTCAGTCGGTGCATGTTAGCTTTGTTGTAAGAGGCTGAGAGGCGAGTAGGAGTGTCCGAGCTCCCATCATGCGAGAGGGCTGTCCAGAGGCCTGTGAGGGGGTCGCCAGTGTGGCTAGCAGGGGGACCAGTGAGAGAGGATGGCTGCATTAAGGAGTCACAGAAATCTGAGGAGACCTGCACTCTTGTCCTGCCATCTCAGCTCAGTCACCTGCGTGCTCAGCAGAGGTGCTCTGGGGCTGCCCAGATCCTCGTAATTTCCTAGGAGTGGAAAAATAAACAACCTGGTAGACTTGGATGGGATCCAAGGGCCATGCAAAAGGCCTATGTGCTGGGTTGGCAGGGGGCTGAGCCTTATCCAAGTGCAAGCTTTTCCTTGTGGGCTGTGTGCGCGGTGTGTTGGAGGGATAAATACCACTGGGCCGTGACTCGCTGTACCTCTCCCTTGTTTCACACGGATGGGTTTTTTCCACATTGTTTTCAGACCGAGGAAAACTTCCCCAGCTGTTCCCGAGGATCATGGTCAGTCTCCATCGCTGGCATTTTGAAATCAGGGTTGGCCGGTTTTCTAAAAGATGTGCTCGAGTTCCTACAGGAGTTTTTGTGGGGGCGTCAGACTAGATGATCAGAGTGTGTCCTTCTGTCCTTAGCATCTGTGTGGTGTTAGTCACTGCTTGGTTTCTGGGAGGGTACTCTAGTAGACACTTGCAGGAGTGGCAGCTGCTGTCATATTTTGAAGCTTCCTGTGTTTGATTAATTGATTCTGTCGTCCTGTTGTGCTCTAGCTCAGTGACTCTCAACCCTGCCTACTGTACCCCTCTCGGGAGTCTGATTTATCTTAGCACCCCATGTTTCTCCTCACTTAAAAACTCCTTGCTTACAAAATCAGACATAAGATACAAGATTGTCCCAGCGCCCTGTCACTGAACAATTGCTGACTTTCTCCCTTTTACCATCTAATTATACAATGACTCACACTGCCAGGTTGAGAGACCCTCATTTAGTACATAGAGCAGTATAAACAAGTCATCGTCTCTGTGAAACGTTAGTTTGCATTGACTTTGCTAATGCATTTCGTGGAGCCTGTTGTAAAACTAGGCAAATGTGCCCCCTGCTAGATCTCTGTGTCCTCCGGGGTACAGGTACCTCTAGTTGAGAACCCTCCCCTAGCTGTACCGAGATGCCCCCTTCCCAGCCTGGCACCCGCTGTGTCTCTCCCCCAAGGGAGCTCTGAGACAAACTGCTGTCTTTTCTTTTCCATGTTTGCCTTTGGGTGCAGTGTTGTCATCTGGCTGGGAGACCTGAACTACAGGCTGTGCCTCCCTGATGCCAGTGAGGTGAAAACACTAATCACTAAGAATGAGCTGCAGAAGCTGTTGACATATGACCAGGTGAGCGAACTCCGCCACGTGGTCGCCCCGTTTGACTGTGTCCCCGCGCTTAGGAGAGCTGGCACCTGCCCTGTGACGGTGACTGGACTCTGCTCTCGGGCGGTGTTGTTCCTTGCTGGCTAGTCCCCATTGAACATCCGAGCAAGGGTCTCTGGCTGAAAGACGTGCTGTAGGGATGTGCATCAGAACTCAGACACCTTGTGTGTAGCTCCTCGCCGCAGCCCCCTGCTTTCCTTGACATCCAGCTAGCCTCTCTCTTGTTCCGTCTACCAGGGTTTGTGTCTCAGGCTGGTGGATCATTCCACTGAAGGACGTATTAACGATTGCCCTGGCTGGGTAACGCAGAGTGTGAAGACAGAGGGGGAACACTGACAGTGGTCAGTCACGGCTTGGAGGGCCCTGGACAGCGTGTTGCAGGAGGGCTGCCTGTAACTGGGGCCCAGTGTGCTGCTCAGCAGCCTGGATCTGAGTTGTGGGGCAGGGCTGGGCTTTGGTGCTGATAAGCTGTTCCTTTTTGCCTCTAGCTGAATATTCAGCGGACTCAGAAGAAAGTTTTTGCTGATTTCACAGAGGGAGAAATAAAATTCATCCCCACATACAAATTTGACTCTAAAACAGACCGCTGGGATTCCAGGTAAGTCTGTTGCTGGTAACCTGTGACACCAACAGCATCTTGCCACGAACTTTCCTTCCCTGGCTGAATTATTAGGCTGTGATGCCTCTCCTGGGAACACGCCTAGTGCCGTCAGTGTGACGTTGAGTAGCCTGGGGGAGCCCTCGCAAATAGACTAAACGTGGTATCTGGGACAGAGCTCTTTGCTGATGAGGCTAATGACCGCTCCATGCAGGCCATGCTCCCTGAGAGGCGTGGGGAATACCTCTGAGGCGAGAGATACAGCACAGAGGGTGCCTGTGCGAGGGGTTGGGAGTAGGTGCAGGTAATCTTAGAACAAGACAGCTTTGCCGTAGTCTGATCGGCCCGGGGACACAGTCAGTTTTGCTTTAGCCTTCAGTGCAAGCTCTTTGATTCCTCTGCCGCACTAAGGCAAAGGAACAAAAATGATAGGCCCCACCCAGGCTGGCACTGCAGTGTCCCCTTCCTGCAGCAGCTCAAGGATTGCAGCTCTCCCGTAGCCCCACGGGGCTACCAGCCCCATTGCAGTCTGCTGCTGCTGCTCAGGCCCCCTCCCTTACAGACCTGGGTCCTTATATCTGCCTGTTGAGCGTCTCCTTAGGCCATGGTTGCTGGTCTCTGGCCCTGCAGGCCCTCCGGGGGAAGGCCGCCCTCCTGCTCCTGCCCATGCACTCTCCTGGGAGAGGTGATCCAAGCCACCCAGACTCGAGGCCCGTGGGGAGCAGGAGCAGCTGAACGGGCTTTCGGCAGTGGGGCCCGTGGGCAGAGCACTAAACTAGCTTGCACCAGCGTGTGGCAACAAAAGAGGCGACTGCCACGTGGGGCCATGTATGCTGGGGCCTTGCGTAGAGCTGGCCCCTGCTAGCCCCGTCCGTTTCCTAGCTCTGCCGCAGCAGCAGGGAGTTCAGCAGCCCCAGTGCTCGCAGGGTGGGGACGAGGTCTGGAGCACTACATCCGTGTCTGTGGGTGAGCTGGCTGCCGGGAGGGAGCTGCTAGGCACTGGAAGGGTGCCAGCCCAGGGTAGCCCCATGCAGGGGCAGGGAGAGCACAGAAGCAATGGGATGCGAGGTCAGGAAGTGCCGGGAGCCCCCGGCTCGAGATGCTGCCCTGGGAAGTGGGCGTGCAGGTGGGACAGGAGCGCTCGGGGATTCCCTGCTCATTGTGTATCTGCAGTGGGAAGTGTCGCGTGCCAGCCTGGTGCGATCGGATCCTCTGGCGAGGGGGGGACGTTAATCAGCTCCGGTACCGCAGCCACATGGACCTGAGAACCAGCGACCACAAGCCAGTCAGCTCGCTCTTCCTTATCGGGGTGAGTGTCCCTTGCGGCCTGGTGCAGGGTCCACCCGCTGACCAAGGGAGACGGGGCCTGCGCGTCTTGATGTAAACGGGAAGGGGGACGAGCAGCAACGAGCGCTAGTCGCCCGGCAGCTTCGCTTCTCTGTGTCTGCAGCCGGGCGCTCAGCAGAGCGGCTGTTCTCTGCAGCCCCGCTGTGGTGTGCGTGCACAGTGACACTGTGGCTTGTGCCCTGCTCATCAGGAACGCCCAGCCACCTGGTTGCTTTACCAGTGTTTTCTGGGCTCCGAGGTGTGACCCCGGGGCCCCTGCCGCTGGGGTGGGCGTGCTGAGCTGTTTGCAGCTGGCTCCTCCCCAGGCCCACGCGCTACCTGTCAATAACTGCCCCCTTCTCTGATGCCGCTTCCGCTCTGCTGGGAGAAACAGAAGGGCTGGGAGCCTCTGGCCGGGGGGGGGCTGAATATGTGCGTGGGTGGGGAGCGACTTGAGAGCCCGGCCGCTGGGTGGGCCACATGCCCCCCTATTACTCTGCCCCGCTCTCAGAGCTAGGCTGTCTGGGTGGCTTGTTGAGCTCTTGGGAGGCCTGAAGCCCGACTGGCGTGCCCGTGCAGGTTGGCAGCGCCTTTCCCACAGGTAGCAGATCCTTCCTGGTGCCCGCTGGCCAGGAAACACCAGTGCCATGGCTGCAGGTAGCACCGCGTGCATGGACTTACCCGAGACTTGGGGGGCAGCTGGGCCAATCCGCAGCCTTCAGAGCTGCGCACATGACATTCCCAAGAGTCTCTTCCGCTCTGGCCTACATCCGGGGTGACCTGCTCTTCCGCAGGTGAAGGTTGTGGATGAGCAGAGGTACCGGAAGGTGTTTGAGGATATAGTTCGTATGATGGACAGAATGGAGAACGACTTCCTTCCCTCACTGGAGCTCAGCCGGAGAGAGGTGAGACCCCAAACGGATTCCTCGTCTGCGTGCTGGCGAGCAGCGTTTCTAGAGGCTGAGACCCGGTCTGCACCCAGCACGTGGGCTGCCTTGGCTGCCTGGCTCAGGGCTGTGAAAAATGTCCCGGCGTGAACACCGGCGTTGGGTTGCTGTAACGCCAGGGTTCTTCTGTCGCCTCCTGGGGCGGTACCTACGCAGCTGGAAGAACTCCTTCGCTCAGTGCAGCCTGTGTCTGCGCGAGGCTGCTATGATGGTGTGACGGCGCGTTGGGGGTCCCCTGTCTCCTGCACCCTGAAATGGCACAAACAGACTCCACCAGCCAGTGGAATTGAGGGTGGTTTATTGCTCCTCCAGGATACAGCACAGCACAGATGTAATCTGGTTACAGGAACTGGGGCTAAGAGGCCTCAGTGCCCCCCTTGAGATAGGGGAGTCCCAGCCCCCCTCCCCAGCTCCTTCTCCCCTGCTTTCCAGACAGGAACTAACCCACTCTCCTCCAGCCCTGCCCCCCAGCCAGGGCAGCATCCACCTTCCTTTGTTCCTCTCCATGGGGGGTGTCTGGCCATACTGGTTTGCATAGTGACTCATCCTGTTTTGCTGGGTCGTGGTACCCACGGCAGCCAGTGGGGGTTACCCCAGAGCCAGCAGCATAGAAACCAGCCAGGTACCCCCACTACGTCACAGATGGCACAGCGCCCGGCCTGCGGCAGCTGGAGCATGGACCCGGTGTGACGAGTCATTAACTCCAGCGTGGAAAATAAGCCAAAAACTAACTTCCGTCCCCTCCCCCCAGCCGGGCGTGGGGTTAGAAATTGGGCATTCCCCTGACCTCATGAGAACGGCCAGGCGGGGTCAGACCAAAGCTCCGCCCAGCCCAGTGTCCTGGCTGCCTGGGGGAGCAAACAAAGCAGGGAATCGCCAGGCGCTCCCCTGTGGCCAGCAAGTGCTGAGGTGGGGCCTGGCGCGGCAGCGATGCTGGTACTCACTGTGGCTCCCCGGGGGCCGTTTTCTCTTTGCTCTGCAGTTTGTGTTTGAGAGGGTGAAGTTCCGGCAGCTCCGGAAGGAGAAGTTCCAGATCACCAACAACGGGCAGGTCACCTGTCACTTCTCCTTCATCCCGAAGCTCAACGACAGCCAGTACTGTAAGCCCTGGCTCCGGGCCGAGCCCTACGAGGGGTACCTGGAGCCAAGTGAGTCTCACGCGCGGCTCTGGAGCGCCTTGGCTCAGGGCACTTTGCCTCTCCCCTTTTGCCTCCATCCCCACCCTTGGGAGCATCTGTCTCCCTCGTTGCTCGGCTCTCTCCTGTGCGTGTGCCCGCGAGGTCGCCGTTCGGAGAGCCCAAGCGTGCCCCTTGCCTGTTGCAGACGAGACCGTGGACATCTCCCTGGACGTGTACGTCAGTAAGGACTCGGTCACCCTCCTGAACTCGGGGGAGGACCGAATCGAGGAGATCCTCGTCCTCCACCTGGACCGGGGCAAGGATTACTTCCTCACTGTCAGCGGGAGCTACCTGCCCAGCTGCTTCGGCACCTCCCTGGAGGCTCTGTGCCGAATGAGACGGCCAATCCGCGAAGTTCCTGTCACCAAACTGGTTGATCTGGTAAGGAGCAGCGGTCCGGGAGGGCAGGCGCCTGGGGTTTGCACGAGGGCTTATTGAGCAGATACTGCGCCCTTCCCAAGGGCTAACCTCCCCCCCCCGGGGCAATGGTCCTGGCCCGCCCTCGTCTTCCTCCCCTCCCTGGGGCAATGGTCCTGGCCCGCCCTGGTCTTCCTCCCCTCCCTGGGGCAATGGTCCTGGCTCGCCCTGGTCTTCCTCCCCTCCCTGGGGCAATGGTCCTGGCTCGCCACTGAGGGCTCTGCTTTCAACCCCAGCCTCTCCTGGGCCTTCCCTGCTAGTATCAGAAGGGACGAGAGGCTCTCCCGGACCTGTGGTGTCTTGCCTGGGTGCCGAGCTATGTGACTTCCTTATGGAACCCCGGACGGCAGGGAGTGCGAGGAGTCTGCCGTTCCCAGAGGTTGCCTGCAAGCCACCTAGGCTGTCCGAGAACGCCAGAGCCTGGCCCTGATGTGGGCGCATCAGGGAACTCAGACGCTTTCTAAAGGCTGCCAGTGATTTACCTGACACAACTCTTGGGCTCTTCCTAAGGCGGAATCACTTCCCCTTATTTATTCTGGCTTGGACTGCTGGGGCTTGCCCTCTGGCCAAGGGCGTGAGCACAGAGCTAGCATGGGCTCCAGCGACAGCACCCTCAGCACGCAGGGTGGCTGCATGGCAAACATGCTCGTTTTGCAGGCGTGCGTGCTGTGTGAGGAGGAAGGCCGGTCAGTCCCTCTTGGCGCTGCAGAGCCGGAGCGGCACGAGCGAGCACGTCGGTAAAACAAGAGGCCCGCTACCTCTGCGGAGTCGGGGTTCGATAGTGAAAGCACGCAGCCTCCGGCATCAGGAGCTTTGCTCACGCTAGGGCCAGCTGACGCGCCCTGTGACCGGGCAGGGCAGGAGGGTGGCAGACGGGTCTGGAGGTTGGATAGGTGTGGAGCAGGGAGCGTAACTTGTTCCGGGGCCGCTCCCGT